GGGGGGGTACAGCAGGGCGGACCAATATAATATTATGTCCGTCATTGCTAATCTCGCATACTAACAAGGGAACAGCAGGGCGGAACACTATACATGTATGTCCGTCCATTGCTAATCTCACATACTAACAAGGGTACAACAGGGCGGAACACTATATGTCCGTCCATTGCTAATCTCACTACATACAATCCGAGGGTAAACTAGAGCGAAACACTATATGTCCGTCCATTGCTAATCTCACTACATAAAATACGAGGGTACACCAGGGCGGAACGCTATATGTCCGTCCATTGCTAATCTCAATACATAAAATACGAGGGTACACCAGGGCGGAACACTATATGTCCGTCCATTGCTAATCTCACTACCTAAAATACAAGGGTACAACAGGGTGGAACACAATTAGTCCATTCATTGTTTATCTCACATACCTAGCGTTCAAGGGAACAGCAGAGCGGAACAATATATGTCCGTCCATTGCTAATATCACATACCTAAAAATCAAGGGTACACCCGGGCGGAACACTATATGTCCGTCCATTGCTAGTCGCACTTCTTAAATACAAGAGTACACCAGGGCGGAACACTATATGTCCGTCCATTGCTAATCTCACAAACCTAAAAGACAAGGGTACACCAGGGCGGAACAATATATGTCCGTGCATAGCTTATCTCACATACTGATAAGGGTTCAGCAAGGCGTAACAATATATGTGTGTCCCAATGCTAATTTCACATACCTAAAATCCCTCTGATGCATTATGGCATCTAACTGCATGGACTTATGGAAACGTAAGAAGAAAGAACATTTGTACTTTATTACTTTTTAAAGTGGAGAAATATTGCCGAAATGCGTAGGAAAGAGAAAATATACTGTTCTTGACCAACTTAAGCTCAAGGAATGTACATATATATATATAATAAAATAACAAATATACAAGATCTACCGCTAGGCCTTTCTGCCTGCTAGGGCTTCTTCAGGCGGAATAATCTATACTAGCTAGAAAAAGAAACTGTGCATGCGGAGAATTGTTATAGAACATGGATTACATGAAAATTCACACACATGACCGAGTATGACACATACACACTATCCGTGTGTCATTGACAGTTTTTCCCGTGCAGTTTGCTCTCTAAAGGCGTGGACCAGTTTGTACGTTTTTCTCGTTCGACAATTAAAGTGTATGTTTCAACTGTTGGGTCACTGTGTTGAGATCAGTGAACAGTAAAAACAGCATTATAACGTTTTAATTTGTGATTAATGCTATGCCGAGGCTCAATGAAAATGACCGCCTTCGTATTTTGTGTATGTTTCAAGCTGGTATGGGCCAAGCCGTTGTCTCAACACGTTTTCATGTCCATCGAAATACAATCCGGGAGATGTGGAGACGCCATCAACGGTTTGGTGGCGTTTGGTGGCCATCGATCGGCGATCGATCTCGGGCGGGACGTCCACATGTGACGTCACGTCAAAAGGACAACCATATGTGGCTTGTCCATTTGAGAAATCGCTTCCAAACGGCAAGTTTGACTGCACGGACAATCCCTAGGTTGCTACCAATAAGCCCGAGAACTGTACGGAACCGATTGCGTGAACGAGCTATCCGTCCGCGACGTCCTGCAATCCGCCCAGTTCTTCTACCACGTCATCGTGTAGCACGTCTGGACTGTTCCAAAAGGCATCTGTGATTTACTCGACGGGATTGGGCAGGCGTTTTGTTTACAAACGAGTCGCGAGTCCACCTGGATAGTAGTGACGGCAGTTCCAGAGTGTATCGTCGAGTTAGAGAACGTTTCCTTGACGCGTATGTGGTACAACGACGTTCTTTCGGCGGAGGCAGCATTATGATTTGGGGCGGCATCACAGCCAACGGGAGAACGCCTCTGATGGTTCTTAACGTGAATTTGAACGCGCTACGTTACCGTGACGAGATCCTCCGGATCCACGTCGTTCCATTCGTGCAAGGGCAGCAACGTCACATTACGCTACAGCAGGACAACGCCAGGCCACGCACAGCTCGTGTCGCTATGGACTTTCTGGCCCAGCAGAACGTTGACGTGTTGCCCTGGCCTGCTGTATCCCCCGATCTGTCGCCCATAGAACACGTCTGGGATGAAATGAAGCGCAGATTACGGGCATCACCTAATCAACCGGTGACGTTGGCTGAGTTACCTGCAGCGTTGGTACAGATATGGAATGCCATCCCACAAGCATTCTTGAACCGTCTGATAGGCTCCATGCGTCGACGTTGCCACCTTGCATTCAGGCAAACGGTGGACATACGAGGTGTTAACTTTGTGAACTTAGTATTGACCCCTGCTGTGTTTACATCACTCCTGAGCGGCACTTATTGATTCATAACGTGGAAAATGGAATGCAACTGTTAATAAATAACAAATAAATTGTCCCTGAAAACCTTGTTGTTCTACGTGATACACATTTATTTTTATAACACTTTTTAGGCATGCACAGTTTCTTTTTTCCGCTAGTATATATATCCCTTGTCCTTTGTGACCTTTAAAAATAGATTTTCATGGAAATTATTTCCTTTTGTGTTTATTTCAAACCACGGGGGAACGCCTCTGGTGGTTGTTAACAGGAATTTGAACGCGCTACGTTACCGTGACGAGATCCTCCGGACCCACGTCGTTACATTCGTGCAAGGGCACCAACGTCACATTACGCTACAGCAGGACAACACAAAGAAATTTCTATTGTTTATGAATAACCGTCAGATTTCGCTATTAGACAAAGTTTAAATAGTTTCCAAGTTGTTAAGATTTCGGTCATATTTTACAACGTAATTGTGCAGAAACTGTCCACCTATCCATTCTGAACACAGTAGAGAAATTATTGCTCAACTTCAGTTTTAGCCTTAGCCTTTGTTTCTAATTCATGCGTACACAGGTTTATCACAATCGGATGATATTTAAACCCCGTTCACGCATAGACGCTGCTTCTACTACGATGAAAAGTGGCCGAGAGCGTGGCCAATCGGGGCCAATCGTGGGCCAAACGTGGGAGGATCTCCATGAGCGTGGTTTAGTCGGGATGGGATCTCTTGGGTCGGGAAGCTGCACGCTCTCCTTCCGCTTTGAACGTGCACAAAATAAGCGTAGCCGGGTCGAGGCCAACACAAAGCGAGGCAAAGTCTTATAAAGAACGTAGTGGGAACGCCATTATTGTAAAAGCAGCGTGATAGCATCGTGGTGAGATCTCTGTGGTCGTAATAAAAACGAAGAACCGTCGGCAACTATTTCGTGCCGTTTTAATTACACTTTTACCATGATCCCACTACGCT